ACTATTCGTTGGTAAAAGAGTAGCCCAAGAGTTGGCGGTGGGTGGTGATGACTAGCTGCCTTCCCTCTGGTCTTACACTGCTAAATTAGGGACGGCTAGCGCAGATAGCCCTCGTGTAGCTTTGCGCGAAATTCATAACAAACAAACAATTAATTGAAAAAAGACTCTGGACTGACTTGAACCTCGAAGTTGTGGCTAACATGTTTCGAAGTTTCTTTTCTTTTACTCAATAATATAATATTACTATTTCACAGCATCCTAAAGGAATTTTAAAATCTGTTTAAAGCTAGTTGGAGTACTCGTCCCCTGGACGGAAGTTATGTAAATTCATGATTAATGAAAGGTTATCTTTGGACATGAAAAGCTGTTTCCCTTATACGTAATTGTAAAACAACGCAAAAACGTCCATAAAAACTGCAAAACACAAGATGTGACACCGCAAATTTGCATGTATCTCCCCATGGACCCAATGAACCTCCATACCAAATTTGGTGAAGATCCATCTAAAGGAGGCGAAGTAGAGGTAAAAAGCGCCCATAAAAACTGCAAAACGCAAAATGCAAAACCGAAAATTTGTATGTAACCCCGCATGGACCCAATGAACCAGCCACACCCTGCGAAGTAGTTACATGGACACACAACAGATAAGATACAGTACTATAATATTTATATAGATTCTACAATATTTGTTTGAATAGTAGTTAATCAACCCACTAATTGCCTGACTTTACTCATAGTGAGAAGCGTTATCAGGGGGGTGACGGCTTGTACTCTTGGGTATCTTAGAGGAAAGTACTGGTGTTGTTAACCAAAGAACAAAAGTTCAAGTCGCGGTCCTGGAGTATCTTTGAAAATAATTATATTTATGATATGACATTCATCATGAAATTTTATATGTAGTATAATTAACGGTTACATCTCACACTTTCAACGGAAGTGCCAAACAGTGTACTTGGTGTAGACAGCAAAGAATGCCTCACATCTCTAAAATATTTCTACTTACTTTATAAATAAAATATAACTGTACTCTAATCTTTAAATAGTTTAGATTTGCAACATTATTCTAATTTTATGAAACCGAAACAAATCGCAGTCCTTGTATTGTTTATGTCAGTCAAGGGTAGATGTCGCCAGTGTATCATGCAAGCACGGATCTGCATTGAAGTTAACATTATAGTGCAATTTAGTTAATTAATATATACATATTCATGATTAACAAAGGAAAGTTATATATTGAAAAGTACTGTTACGAAAAATATGTACCAATAAGCTGTATTGTTTTGTGGACAAGTTTTATTCAGTATGAAAGTAAGAATGATGCAACAACAATGTATTGTTATGTAATTTTTATGTACATAGAAACTTTTCTCCAGATGAAATTTATCTTTCTCAATAATACAGCATAAATTTCCAACTGTTTTACACGTGACGCTGTTAACACAATACATCTTTATTTCATATAGATGTATGACCGTTACACAATAGTTGAACTATTGTATACACAGAGCCTTTAACCTTCTGACTGTTCTAGCAACGCGATCGTCAAGTTAACAGAATAAACTCCAAACTGGTTCAAGATGTTAATGGTTTAAACTCTCATCTGTTCTACATATACGGACGTTAACAGAATAAACTACGAACTGGTTTAAGATGTTAACAGTTTAAACTCTCATCTGTTCTACATGCACTGATGTTAACAGAATAATCTCCGAACTGGTTTAATATGCTTACAGTTTAAACTCTCATATGTTCTACATATACGGACGTTAACAGAATAAACTTTGAACTGGTTTAATATGTTAACAGTGTAAACTCTCATCTGTTCTACAAATAAGGATGTTAACAGAATAAACTCCGAACTGGTTTAATATGTCAATATTTTAAATTCTCATCTGTTCTACATATAAGGATGTTAGCAGAATAAACTCCGAACTGGTTTAATATGTTAACAGTTTAAATTCTCATCAGTTCTACATATACGGATGTTAACAGAAAAAACTCCCAATCGTTCTGAAAGGATGAATGTCAGAATTTCATATTTTCCACTCCTATGTTTACATGTTATTTTCTGTGCTTTTATTGCAACATGTTACGGTAGCGCCGCGTATTTCTAATCTTCAGTACTTTGCTAGATAATCTGTTTTGTTTTTGTTGTTGTTACTCATAAATAGTCGTAAAACTTTGTCAGACAAGGTATTTTACGATTCTCTGTTAACAAGAAATTGTAAAACATTCTAGAAACTGATACTGATGTCACTGTACACAACCGGAAGAGATCCTAAATATTTCCCAAATCCAGATCATTTTAAACCCGACAGGTGGTTGAGAATTCGGGACACTCGTGACATCATCAGTACTTTTGCATTCTTACCTTTCGGTTTTGGTATCCGGTCCTGTATTGGCCGCCGGGTGGCAGAGATGCAGATGCAGTTTTTGTTAGCGAGAGTAAGTTTTTATCTTTTGCACTACATTAATATGAAATTTACCCTATAAAATACATATATATTCCAAATCCTCACTTTCTTAAGTCAATCTTGTTTCATTAAGTCAGACTTACTAATTCAAATATCAAGAAAACAAGGATATTAAAGTGGATGATCCAGGAACAATAATTAGTGCTTTAAAGTAATATTAATGTTTAGTTTATGAAATCACAAATATGAATAAAAAATACTCGTTTATTTTGTACGTCGTTTATGGTAACATTGTGTTTGCTAATTATAATCGTTAATACCTACAGCATAAGTTGATAAGGCTGAAATTCTTTAGACGTGTTTTGTATATGTTATATAATCTACACAAATTTCAAATACAGATACCCCTCGTTCACTTATTAATAACTTACTCGTTGTGATAATGAATCCAGAAGTATTATATGTAACAGATCACGAAAAGTATATAATTATTTGTTTTGTTTGTATTTAACATCTAAGCTTGCGAATCATGATGTATAAAAATAATAAAGACGTAATTAAAATTATTATCAATTTATTACGCTGTATATCAATTACCAAAATTACTGATTAATTGTTTATTATCTTAAGAATCTATTTCAATCGCCATTACTCATGAGTGCCTGATTTTCCTTACAGACGGTTCAGGCATTCCATTTGGTTTCTGCTAACACAAGAGATGTAAATATTACCATGAGAATGATCACGACTCCGGATGAACCAATCAGATTACGTTTAGAGGATCGTGTTAAATGAATCATCTATGCAGAAACCCGTACAGACTGAAAGTCTTTGTGAGACTTCGATTAACATCAGTATTTTAAATAACGACGGCCAGTGGATGTTTGAGTCATGTTAAGCTGACATTAAAGGACAGCAGATTGCTTTCAAGCAGCTTTTTCAGTGCAATCATTATTGTTTTTAGTTCAATGTAATAAAAGTAAAAAAAAAAACAAACAACATAAAACATCAGGAGTTTTTAAAGAATTCCAGTTGTAGTGAACTCAAATTTTTGCTGTTGGAGTGAACCTATATTTTGGCTGTTGCTGTAAACCCGTGTTTTTCTTGTTCAAGTGAACCCATGTTTTTATTATTAAAGACACAAAACATGATGAAGCAAACCACCAGGAATCTGAAATACGAGCGGCTGGATTTTCAGGCGATAAAAAAAGAGATGGAAAGTGTTTGCGTAAAGGTTAAGAAGTTGAAATATGAGAGAAAATGTGATAAAACTGTAAGAAGTAAAGAAGAAACATTTTTATTGAACTATTAAACTGGTAATACTACAACCATATAAACACCTTTATACAATTTGGTTGAATAACAATCATTACCTATCATTGTAAGTATAAGGCTAAGTTAGAGCGGTGAAGGAATTATTAAATATTCTTAAATTATATCGCTTATTGTTATTCTGTTAACCTAACTTAGGTTTCTGTAAAGATATAAATACGTTTTAATTTGTTTTTGTTTAATTCCTATTTACAAATAATATTTTTCATCATCCTCATATAATCAGTTTATTTAACAAATTGTAAAACGTTCGTCTTTTTTTTCTTTTTTTTTTCTAGACTCGTGCAATTTTTGTATGATTTTTAAAACGAGATACACCTATAATCCTCATTGTAAGTATTGGAATTCGCTAATGCAAGTTCAAGATAGCCAATTAAAACAGATATCTTATCCAGTATGAGTCAGGAAATTAGGTTTAGCATTCTATTTTATTTCTAAAATTTCTTTTAGAACATTTTTCTTGGAATAAATCTTAAATATTATGATAACGCTATATTTTTTTTACAAACTTAGATGAGAAAACAAGCTATTTTAACTTAGTTTGAGTTTATCTCTCTTTGTGTTTTACAGCATTTAAAGATTCATAATTAGTAAGACTTTATTTTTATTCCTGTTGGAAATATTCGACTTCACTGATAGTCTCAGAATGAGAAAGTTGATGAACATGTTATCAAATCGCTTGTCAGCTTTTACTTGCAAAATTTGTTAGAAAAAGCTTCAGCGTTTTGTACCCCAAGAAACGTATTTTTTTATAGAATTATCCTCTCCGTGTTATGAGACAATTGTCTAGTTTTATTTTAAGAAATAGCATCTGATCTCCACTTAAAAAAATATAATTTTGTTGTTATATATATATATATTATTTCAAATACACTTTACGAATTTGTCTAAATGATAACCACAAGACATTGAAAGGTTACTCATTTGTGTGTAAACTAAACTCGCCAAAATCATGTTAAATAAAAAAAACAATATGAGAGGGGTAATAAGCTCTTACTGCAGTAGTTACTTTATAACCCCCCTCCCCAGTGGCACAGCGGTATGACTGCGAACTTACAACGCTAGAAATCGGGTTTCGATACCCGTGGTGGGTAGAGCACAGATAGCCCATTGTGTAGCTTTGTGCATAAATTCAAACAAGCATTAATCTACTCGAATCCCATCTAAAAGAATTTCAACTTGAGGGTAAGCTAGTAGAAATCCTGATGAGTAATAAAATCGAATGGGGTATACGCGCCCCCAAGTAGCACAGTTGTCTGCAGACTTACAACGCTAGAAACCGGTGGTGGGCAGAGCACAGATAGCCCATTGTGTTGATTTGTGCTTAACTACAAATAAGCAAATACTTTGTACAGTGTTCTAAAATTTTGCTCTTGTGTAAAAAATGGGAAACATATCAGACAATGTTAGATATTTGATGAAACGAACATTATTTGAATAGAATAAAGTCCTCTCAAGAAATCAAACATAACTTTCGACTAGTTTGTAAGTAGCTGTAATTTCTCCACGTTTCATTAGGCCAAAATATCCTACGTTATGTCCAGACTTTGAGTAGTATTTGTGTCAGGGTTAAACAGTTAAACTCAAGTTTCTAATTCATTGTCATAATTCTTGATGAAGAGTGTTTTGGTGTTTATTATTGTTTGTGCGCTACCCCTAGATCAATGATCCAAGTTTAAGACACTTTTGATTATGTATTCGCTTAAATATCGTGGTCAATAAGTAGCCATACAGAAAGTTCAAAGTTCAGGCTACCTAAGGAAGTTTATAGAGTAACAGATTACTGAAGAATAAAGGTATTCTCAATAAATTAGAATAGGTTGTAATGAGAAGGAACCGTAAAAATCTATTTTTTATATCGATTTACTATAATTTACATGCTGCAATGGTTGCATTGATGGTATGAATACTCTTTGCTGTTATCTGTTGTCAGAGAAATGGTATGAATACTCTTTGCTGTTTTCTGTTATCAGAGAAATGGTATGAATACTCTTTGTTGTTACCTGTTGTCAGAGAAATGGTATGAATACTCTTTGCTGTTTTCTGTTATCAGAGAAATGGTATGAATACTCTTTGTTGTTGCCTGATATCAGAGAAATGGTATGAATACTCTTTGCTGTTTCCTGTTATCAGAGAAATGGTATGAATACTCTTTGCTGTTACCTGTTATCAGAGAAATGGTATGAATACTCTTTGTTGTTTCCTGTTATCAGAGAAATGGTATGAATACTCTTTCTGGTTCCCTGTTATCAGAGAAATGGTATGAATACTCTTTGTCGTTACCTGTTGTCAGAGAAATGGTATGAATACTCTTTGCTGTTTTCTGTTATCAGAGAAATTGTATGAATACTCTTTGCTGTTTCCTGTTATCAGAAAAATGGTATGAATACTCTTTGTTGTTACCTGTTATGAGAGAAATGGTATGAATACTCTTTGCTGTTTTCTGTTATCATAGAAATGGTATGAATACTCTTTGTTGTTACCTGTTATCAGAGAAATGGTATGAATACTCTTTGCTGTTACCTGTTATGAGAGAAATGGTATGAATAATCTTTGCTGTTTTCTGTTATCATAGAAATGGTATGAATACTCTTTGTTGTTACCTGTTATCAGAGAAATGGTATGAATACTCTTTGCTGTTACCTGTTATGAGAGAAATGGTATGAATACTCTTTGTTGTTTCCTGATATCAGAGAAATGGTATGAATACTCTTTGCTGTTACCTGTTATCAGAGAAATGGTATGAATACTCTTTGCTGTTACCTGTTATCAGAGAAATGTTGGATCAAGTTGCTGTCTATTTTCAAATGTTTTTTTTTATTGTTAGCCAAGTATTCAATATTATGGTGCTCATGTTACTTTGTTTGTGTATGTGGTATTAGTATTCGTTTTATGTAAATTCGTCACTGTTAAGGTGCTATATTCTAATAGACTTTAAAATGGACCATTGAGTGTTCATATCATACGTTGTTTTCGATTCACCTATCTCTAGTCGCCCCCATGCTGTTGAGTTTCCTCAAGTCGGAAATGAGCAACAAAGTGGCTTATGAAAGTTAACCCTGCTTCGAGACTAAGTGGGGGACGTTTTTAAGCCAAGCGAAAAATATCAATAGCAATAAAAGAACACGTTTGATGCCATATTAAAAGCTTAAGGGGTAGAGTATCGAAATCGTTGAAAGCGGGTACTATGACGTCATGTCTGATTTATCGAAGTGGGATAAGATATCATAATTGATTACATAGACATTATTCAGAAAATCGTACCTTAGCATAATGCCCGTTATTTGCTTCTTTTGAATTCTATTGTGTCTCATCTATTTAAAAGAAAAATCATCTGATTGTGGTTTGGAAAACGTTAACACTAAAATATCTAAAGTATTTAAATAGTACTAAACGTTAACAAAGGGAGATTTAGTTAAAATAACCTTAAGATATGAGCTAAAGATTTCTGAACAAATATGACTTTTAGCTTTTATTCATTAATAACTTTTGTTTTATTGATAGTTTAAAAAAAATATGTAGAATTCTCCTGTTTTGAATTATATAGTTTAACTTAGTTTTCATAAAACAGGAGGAATATTGTTGATAAAACATATACACGACTTCTGAAAAAGTTCTGTTTAAACGATTATTATGTAGTCCTCGTCTAAGTACTGATTTTATAAAAGAACTTTTAAAACTATTGAATTAATTGATTGTTACTTAATAAGGGTTTTCGAATGTATTTCTCTACATTAACCTAGACAATGACATTTAACTAAATACACAAAAACTTTACATATTTTTGAATGCTGAGAGCTTAGTACTTTATTTCTAAAGTTTGCAGTATATAAAACATCTTTTCACATGTTAATTTTTGCAGCTGTTTATTATCTATGTGTCCACGTTTGCCTTGTACAAAACAATGATTCGTAAGTAGTGTTTGAATCATATTGTCGTCAAAGTTCAATGTGTTTTCAACATTGTTAGAGATACTAGTGTAAAATTAAAAGAGATAAACCTTTTTTTTATGTATAATAAGTTGTGTTGTTGCATTACATGACAAGTATTTTAGTGTAAAGCCCGTGTCTCGGGAAACATGTTAATCAAAAAGAAAAAATAGGGAGAGTTGAAACTTTTTGTTTGGGAATTTTTGATTTGAAGTTTTAGTGAAATCGCACACCACAAGAATTTTTCACCATGTTTGTTTTTAGTAGTTGAATAGTATAATACGTTTAGATACAATTTACAATCAGCAAAGAATACAAAATTATTTAACGTTCAAATTTTCGTTCACTAATACGTATCTCATATTACACATCACGTTTGTCAAAGGTCGAGCGTGGCGCTGTGGTTAACATGCCCAGACTATGAAGCTGAGGATTCGCGGTTCGGAATCTATTACCGCAATATCATGCTCCGCACATTGAGGATATCATGCGTTATAAAAGTAACTGTCAAATCTCATTATTCGATCAGAGTAGCTCAAGAGTTGGCAGTGAGTGCTGTTGATTAGGTGCCCTTTTTTTTCTGTACCATTTCAAAATTAGGGACAACTAGTGCAAATAGTTCTTGTGTAGCTTTTGCGTGAATATCCAAAAAACATATTCTAAGCATTAACTGTAGAGCCACCTGATGGTACTTTTTAAACCGTTGTCTTTGGTTCTAGCACAAAGCTACACAATTGGCTATCTGAGCTATGGTCACCATAGGATTTGAACACCGCGGATTTTAGCGTTGTAAGTCCGTAAACTTACCGCTGACCCACTGGAGGATTGATTTTACAATTAGTATAGAGTACTAACGCAAAGTTGAACACAGTTGTATATAAATAAGTTTATACACTTATGCTGAAATTTTACATATGGGTTAAATATATACTAAGGTCATACTACTATGAACAGGAATAACAAAAGAAGACTTTCACAGTTCAATCAAAGTACCTACCTTACCATAACAGTGCCTGAATCGTGACTAATTAGTCACGTCTCTCCCAAGATATTCCAGAATGATCTACTGTAAACCAACAACAAGTGTAACAAGATTACAACGTCTTGGATTCTTTTTTTTTTATCTTTGGGCGAAACTACACAAAGAGCCATCTGCGCATAGCCATTCCTAATTTAGAATTGATAAAGTATAGAAAAGGCAGATGCTAGTCGACATCTCC